AATTTCAAAACAAATAAATTCACTCTACTATAAGAAAAACATCAGACAAATCTCATTTGAGGGACAATCTACAAAATACTTAACTAGTATTCTTCAAAATTACTAAGATCAGCTAGGCTTGGTGGTACATGCATATAATCCCAGCAATTCAGAAAGTGGAGGCAGAATTGCTTAAGCGCTCAAGCCTACCCCAAGAGAAAGTAGCAGTGAGACCCTGTCTCAAAAGCTGAAGTAAAACACAAGTGTACAGGGGCATAATTCAAGTGGTAGAACACTTGCCTTGCAAGTGCAAAGCCCTAGGTTCAGTCTCCAGTACTAAAGAAAAAAAGAAAAAAAAAGTCAAAATCAATTAAAACAAAGAAAGTCTGAGACATGGTGACAGCCAAGAAGAGCCTGGGGAAGAGTCTTAAATATAAGATGGAATCCTGGAACAAACGCATTGAGTAAAAGCTAAGGACATCACATGGATTTTATTTGATAAGATTGTATCAGACATTCACATTAATCAAAACACAGTACCACACCAATGTGAGATGTTAAAAATAGAGTAAACTGATCATGAACAATGAGGGAACTCTCTGTACTATCCTCACAATTTTTCTGAAAATTTGAAGCTTTTCTAAAATAAAAGGTTTCAAAAAACGAACAAAGCCTCAAAGACTGTGGATCATCATCAAAATAGTGAGTTAAATATAATGGGAGTCCCAAAATGAGAGGAGGGAGCAAAAAGAATATTTTGAGAAATAATGGCCAAAATCTTTGCAAATTGAATGAAAGATGTGAATGAACACATTCAAGAAACTCAATGAACTTCAAGTTGATTGCCCTCAAAGATGCCGATGTCTCAACATGATATGGTCAAGCAGCAAGAAAAAAACCAAAAAAACAAGGAGATTGGACTTTGATCACATGATAAAGCAAGAGCACACAGGGAGGTATGAGGATAGGTAAGACACCTAAAAAATTAGATAGCATTTGTTGCCCTCAACACAGAGAAACTAAAGCAGATACTTTAAAGCAACTGAGGCCAATAGGAGAAGGGGACCAGGAATTAGAGAAAAGGTTAGATCAAAAAGAATTAACCTAGAAGGTAACACACACGCACAGGAAAGTAATGTGAGTCAACTCCCTGTATAGCTATCCTTATCTCAACCAGCAAAAACCCTTGTTCCTTCCTATTATTGCTTATACTCTCTCTATAACAAATTAGAAATAAGGGCAAAATAGTTTCTGCTGGGTATCAAGGGGGTGGGGGGGAGAGAGAGGAGGTGGGGGGGTAAAGAAGGGGGTGGGGGAAGGGGGGAGAAATGACCCAAACATTGTATGCACATATGAATAAAATAAAAATAAAAATAACAAACAAGTCATTATGTGCAAGGGATTCTCAATAAAACAAGCAGTGACTTTTCGTCAGGAACTAGGGATGTCAGAAGTCTGTAAGATGACATTCAAAGTGATAAAAGAGAGACTTTTGGCCAACAGTTCTGTAATTAGCAAACTATGCATCAAAACTGAAGGATAAATAAAAAGAGAATGTGGTATCAGCATACCTACCATGTGAGGAATATTAAGGGAATTTTTAAGTCCTAAATGAGAGAACACTAAACAGTAACTTGTGCATCAGTAGCGTTAATTACATATATGTAACTATTGCTCTTTAAAAGAGGATTATAACAACTTAAAAGGTGATTATAACAATAATTATAAAACTGAATTGATAAGCTCAAGTTTTAATTTGTATGAAAATAATAGCACAAAGGGAGGGGGAGATAACAGGGCTGCATTGGGCCAAAGACTTCATTTACTGCTGAAAATAAATTAGTATTAATTTCAACTAATTTGATTTAACTTAAAATGTTCATTGTGACCCCAATGGCAACAATTAAGAAAATAACCAAACAATATGGTTAACAAACAATAAGGGAACTAACACTGTATTAGAAACTAACTGGTCAACACAAAATAGGGCAGTAAGGTCATAAGACAAAAAGGTCAGAAGACATAGAAAACAAAAACAAAATGGCAGATTTACTTCCCACTTGTTCCATAATTACATTAAGATACATTGATTAAGTAGTTATAATTACAAAGCAGGTACTGGCAGAATGGATGTATAATGTAACTACATGCTGCTAACAAGAGAATACACCTTTAGTTTCAAAGACACAAACTGACTGAAAGAAAAATAATGAAAAAATATATATCATGCAAATAATCAAATGGGATCTGAAGTGGCTGGGCTAACATCAGAAAAAAACTGATAAAAATTAGTATTAGGTAGTAAGGGTCAATCCTTTGAAATTACATCATTTGCAGGAACATGGACAGAATTGAAGATCATCATATATTGTCATTTATATATACATATATAAAAGACAGCATAATGAAATCACCAAACATTGTTTGAAAAACAGTGGGAAAGGATGGATGCAACAGGATAGGAATGCAATGGAGATGGGAGGAGCCTGTTCAAAGTGCATTGTACACATGCGTGGAATTATCACAATAAACCCTTTGTGTTCTTAATGCATGATAATTCAGAACTATAGTAGACTATTAAAAAGACATAAAATTGTAAGCATATTTATTGAACAGCAATCTACAAATAGGGGAACAAACAGCCAGTTCCTCAGCGATCATTGAAGACTTTGATACTGTACTTTCAAGAATGAGTACAGCAAGTAACTAGGCAGAAGTTCTGCAAGGAAATGTGAGATCTGAGCAACACTGTAAGCAACAGATCCTAAAGATATCTGTAGAACACTCTGCCACATAACAGCAGACTGTATATTCTCAAAGTGCATATGAAACACTTTCAAAGAGTCCATATATTAGACCATATAAAATAATCGGTAAGTTTAAACATGTTTTCTCCAATTACAATGTAATTAAAGTAGAAATCACTAACAGACCAAATATGGAAAAGTCACAAATATGTGAAAATTAAACAAAATGGTCCTGAATTAAAAAAAAAATCTATAAGAAATTATAGGGACATTTAGAAGTTTTTGAGATTAATAAAGATATAAAATAACCTGCCAAAACTTATGAGATGCACTTTAAGCCACACTTAAAGGGAACTGCAAATGTTAAAAAGACGTTGAGGTTGTGAGTAGTGGCACATTCCTGTAAGCCCAGCCTTGGGAGGCTGGGCAGGAGAACTGTGAGATGGAGGCCAGCTGGGTTACATGGAGAGACTCTGTACCTGCCTCCACTCCCCCCAAAAAAGAAGATCTCAAAAAGCTAGCCATCCATTTCAAGAAACTGGAATAATGAGATGAATTAAAAATTATTTTTACAAAGGAGGGGTATCAAGAAAGAGTAAAAGAGAGGGTGAATTTGAACAAAGTGCATTATACACATGTGGAAATATCACAAGGAAATCCCTTTATACAATTAATATATGCTAAAAAAAAAACAAAAAAAAACAGGCACCAGGGGCTCACTCCATAATCCTACCTACTCAGGAGGCAGAGATCAGGAGGATTGCAGTTTGAAGGCAGCTCAGGAAAATAGTTCACAAGACCCTATCTCAAAAAAAAACATCACAAAAAAGAGCTGGTGGAGTAGCTCAAAGTGTGGGCCTTGATTTTAAGCCCCAGTACCACAAAAAATGAAAAAGCCAGAAATGATGATGATTATTGAAGAATAAATGAAACAGTAAATAGAAATAAATAAATAATGAAGGCATAAATTGAATCTTTGAAAAAAAAATCAAAGTTTGCAAACCAAAAGAGAGAAGACTCAAATTACTAAAATCATGAATGGAAAGAAAGAATATCATTAAAGGCCTTCCATAAATTAAAAAAAAGGGATACAGTGTATATATGTAACATCCAAACACAACTGAAACACAAGAAATAGGTAAATTTTCATGCATCGAAATGAATAACTTTCGTGCCTCAAGAATATCATTAAGAAACTAAAACGTTGGCCAAAATATTTGCAAATCATTTATCTCACAAGAGACTTCTCTAAAATATACAAATAACACAACTCGATTTTAAAAAGTGATCTCAGGAGACATTACATCAATTCAATGAAGCTACACAAATGACAAGCAAATGAAAAGATTTTTAACATCATTAGTCACTAGGAAAATGCAAATCAAAATCACACGAAATACCACTTTACCCCCACTAGGTTGATGCAATATAAAAGGTAGACAATAACAAGTGTTGATAAGGAGATGGAGAAGCTGAAAGCTTCATGCACAGCTCATGTGAATTTAAACAGTGTAGACACTTTAAAAAACTCTTTCAGGTATTCCTGAAAATGTAAAGATAGATCATTTAATCCAGAAATTCCACTCCCAGGCATATACCCAAGAGGAATAAAAACATATCCACATAAAAATACAATGCTCGTAACACATTATCCATAAAAACCAAACCATGGAAAATCAAACATCCATCAGCTGGCAGATAGATAAGCAAAATGTGGCATGGAGTACCATCCAGATAATTGAAGTAAATGGGAAGGATGGAAGTGGATGAGTCTTGAAAACATTATCCAAGAGAAGGAGCCAGCACACAGTGTCCCATGTTTTACGATTCCATTGATATGAACTGCAGAGAACAGGCAAACCCACAGAGACAGGACATATATTAGTGAGCACCAGGGGCTCAGTGTTTAGTGGTGATGCTTGTGAACTCCCATATACACTAAAACCCACTGAACTGTATACTTGAATTGGTGAATTATGGCATAACTATATTTCATCATAGCTGCTAAAAACAACAGAAACAACATAGATTTTTTATTAGTAATTAAGTTTTATTTTATAATTTTAAAACTCAAAGAATAATACCAATTGTTCTATTTCTTCTCTAAAAGAAGGAGGAACCAGTTAACAAAAGAGAAAGTAATCTCGCCTCCAACTGCAAGATATTAAAACAACTCCTATCTGTAGATGTGGTCTTTGTTGCATGCCTGGGACAATAAAGGCCCAAATGCTAAAGGAATTGATTTTTTGTTAAGCAAGAAATAATTTCACTAACCTGCTGTCTGAAAATTCTGAAAAATCATCCTGAAGTTCAAACTTGTGCAGAACTTCTCCAATCAGATAGCCACTGGAAAATGCTTTTGCAAATGACTTGGGACCTGAATTTTAAAATATTGAGATAAAAAATTGAATATAATGTTGCAAGATAATGTTTACATAGTCAAAATTGCTTAATTTAACTTGAACTCAAAATGCCATGTATATATTTCTAGAAATAGCTTTTAATAACCAAAGTAAAAGATTTTAGCTTATCAGAAGATATAGAAATCTCCAAAGATAAAAAAAATCAGTAGCTGGTAAAAATTTTTGAAAGAAGAAAACAATTTGAGTCAAATTAAACAAAAGATAATCTGATTTGTAAATAACCTTAAATGGGATGTCATTATTTAATAAATTTATCTTATAAAGAAAAAATTAACATTAGATCTAAAATGAAGATATTTAATAAAACTGCATTCTAATATTTTAATTTCTCATACAGCCTGTGGTGACAACATATTCTGGACAACTTAATTACAATCTAACTTTTTAAATAAATAATTTTTTTATCCTGTACAGCAATGAAAAGATTACTAAAATCACCTGACCCTTTTAAATTAAACCCTATTGAACATAATCAAGATTTTGCTTCGTGTTTTGAAGAGGTCACCATAATACAGTTTTGTTCCATGCAATGATGAAAATATCTCAGAGGAAAATTAGGCATGGAGACAGAAATCTCTGTGTTGGACTCTTGCCTCACTGCCCACTACAAGCTGTGTCATTTTGGGTAAGCTGTTTAACCTTTCAGTTTCAGTCTCCTCATCACTACAATAAAGATGACTATGTTTGTATTGTATCTTAGAGAGTTATTTAAATTCTTGGTTAAATTTTTTAACTGATACACATAAACAAAAGCATACATACTAATGGGGTAATGTAATGTTCCAGTACATATACACATCACATTATTTTAAAATCAGATTAAATGTATTTGTATCTTCATACATTTCTTCATGGAAAAAACTTTCAAAATCCTTTTATCCAGCTTCTTGGAATGTACAGTTCATTCTTACCATCTATAGTAACTCTTTAATTTCTTGTTTCTATCTAATTGTAACTTTGTACCCATTGCTCAACCTGTCCACATCTTTTCTTCTTCCTACTCTCCCTAGTTTCTGGCAAATCATTCCACTGTCAGCTTCAATGAGATAATTTTATTTTTTCGGATTTCATGTATGAGTGAGATCAGGTGGTACTTTCCACATTGACTTGTATAATGATCCATAGTTACATCCATCGTCTTAAATGAAAAGATTTCATTTCATTTTTTTTTAGCTGAATGGTATTCCATTGTTAAAAATGTCTGGTTTCATATAATTACTAGGTGCCACACTGTCACACAGTAGGCACGTAACGATAAGTTCAAAAATTTTGTTTAATGGTCCTGGGGTTTGAGTTGGGGGTGTTGTGTTTGCTAGGTAGCTCTACCACTTGAACCACTCTATCAGTCCACAAAAAATTTATGTATAATTTGCTTTAAAAAATGTCCTTGGTTCTGAGTCACTTGTCTTTTTTAGGAGTCAAGGGTACAGTTACATGGTATTTAAGGACAATATATAAAATTGATAGAGAAAATAATATTTTCATCGGTCAAAACCACCAAATCTCAAATGATTTCAAAACTCTGCATAAATCGTTAACATGCTTTGTTCTACAGTACAACAGCTGTCAAAAAACCAGATGTCACTGCAGTATTGTAAACTCAGTTACACCAGATTGTTCCATTTTATTTATTTGACTAATTATGAGGTGTCTAACTGAATATGAAGAATGATCTTCTTCATTTTTTTTTTTTTTTTTTTTTTCATTTTTCTTTTATTATTCATATGTGCATACAAGGCTTGGTTTATTTCTCCCCCCTGCCCCCACCCCTCCCTTACCACCCACTCCCCCTCCCCTCCCCCTCAATACCCAGCAGAAACTATTTTGCCCTTATCTCTAATTTTGTTGTAGAGAGAGTATAAGCAATAATAGGAAGGAACAAGGGGTTTTGCTGGTTGAGATAAGGATAGCTATACAGGGCATTGACTCACATTGATTTCCTGTGCGTGGGTGTTACCTTCTAGGTTAATTCTTTTTAATCTAACCTTTTCTCTAGTTCCTGGTCCCCTTTTCCTATTGGCCTCAGTTGCTTTAAGGTATCTGCTTTAGTTTCTCTGCATTAAGGGCAACAAATGCTAGCTAGTTTTTTAGGTGTCTTACCTATCCTCACCCCTCCCTTGTGTGCTCTCGCTTTTATCATGTGCTCATAGTCCAATCCCCTTGTTGTGTTTGCCCTTGATCTAATGTCCACATATGAGGGAGAACATACGATTTTTGGTCTTTTGGCCAGGCTAACCTCACTCAGAATGATGTTCTCCAATTCCATCCATTTACCAGCGAATGATAACATTTCGTTCTTCTTCATGGCTGCATAAAATTCCATTGTGTATAGATACCACATTTTCTTAATCCATTCGTCAGTGTGGGGCATCTTGGCTGTTTCCATAACTTGGCTATTGTGAATAGTGCCGCAATAAACATGGATGTGCAGGTGCCTCTGGAGTAACAGTCTTTTGGGTATATCCCCAAGAGTGGTATTGCTGGATCAAATGGTAGATCGATGTCCAGCTTTTTAAGTAGCCTCCAAATTTTTTTCCAGAGTGGTTTACTAGTCTACATTCCCACCAACAGTGTAAGAGGGTTCCTTTTTCCCGCATCCTCGCCAACACCTGTTGTTGGTGGTGTTGCTGATGATGGCTATTCTAACAGGGGTGAGGTGGAATCTTAGTGTGGTTTTAATTTGCATTTCCTTTATTGCTAGAGATGGTGAGCATTTTTTCATGTGTTTTCTGGCCATTGAATTTCTTCTTTTGAGAAAGTTCTGTTTAGTTCACTTGCCCATTTCTTATTGGTTCATTAGTTTTGGGAGAATTTAGTTTTTTAAGTTCCCTGTATATTCTGGTTATCAGTCCTTTGTCTGATGTATATTGGCAAATATTTTCTCCCACTCTGTGGGTGTTCTCTTCAGTTTAGAGACCATTTCTTTTGATGAACAGAAGCTTTTTAGTTTTATGAGGTCCCATTTATCTATGCTATCTCTTAGTTGCTGTGCTGCTGGGGTTTCATTGAGAAAGTTCTTACCTATACCTACTAACTCCAGAGTATTTCCTACTCTTTCTGTATCAACTTAAGAGTTTGGGTCTGATATTAAGATCCTTGATCCATTTTGAGTTAATCTTGGTATAGGTGATATACATGGATCTAGTTTCAGTTTTTTGCAGACTGCTAACCAGTTTTCCCAGCAGTTTTTGTTGAAGAGGCTGCTATTTCTCCATCGTATATTTTTAGCTCCTTTGTCAAAGATAAGTTGCTATAGTTGTGTGCTTCATATCTGGATCCTCTATTCTGTTCCACTGGTCTTCATGTCTGTTTTTGTGCCAGTACCATGCTGTTTTTATTGTTATTGCTTTGTAATATAGTTTGAAGTCAGGTATTGTGATACCTCCTGCATTGTTCTTTTGACTGAGTATTGCCTTGGCTATTCGTGGCCTCTTGTGTTTCCATATAAATTTAACAGTAGATTTTTCAATCTCTTTGAATGTCATTGGAATTTTGATGGGAATTGCATTAAACATGTAGATTACTTTTGGGAGTATAGACATTTTTACTATGTTGATTCTACCAATCCATGAGCATGGGAGATCTCTCCACTTTCTATAGTCTTCCTCAATCTCTTTCTTCAGAAGTGTATAGTTTTCCTTGTAGAGGTCTTTCACATCTTTTGTTAGGTTTACACCTAGGTATTTGATTTTTTTGAGGCTATTGTAAATGGAATTGTTTTCATACATTCTTTTTCCGTTTGCTCATGTTAGTGTATAGAAATGCTAATGATTTTTCTATGTTGATTTTATATCCTGCTACCTTGCTATAGCTATTGATGATGTCTAGAAGCTTCTGAGTAGAGTTTTTTGGGTCTTTAAGGTATAGGATCATGTCGTCTGCAAATAGGGATATTTTGACAGTTTCTTTACCTATTTGTATTCCTTTTATTCCTTCTTCTTGCCTAATTGCTCTGGCTAGGAATTCCAGTACTATGTTGAATAGGAGTGGAGATAGTGGGCATCCTTGTCTGGTTCCTGATTTTAGAGGGAATGGTTTTAATTTTTCTCCGTTAAGTATAATGCTGGCTGTAGGTTTGTCATATATAGCTTTTATAATGTTGAGGAACTTTCCTTCTATTCCTAGTTTTCTTAGAGCTTTTATCATGAAATGATGTTGGATCTTATCAAAGGCTTTTTCTGCATCTATTGAGATGATCAAGTGGTTTTTGTCTTTGCTTCTGTTAATGTGGTTTATTACGTTTATTGATTTTCGTATGTTGAACCACCCCTGCATCCCTGGGATGAAGCCTACTGGTCGTGGTGAATAATCTTTTTGATGTGTTGCTGAATTCGATTTGCCATTATTTTGTTGAGGATTTTTGCATCAATGTTCATTAAGGAGATTGGCCTATAGTTCTCCTTTTTGGAGGTGTCTTTGCCTGGTTTTGGGATAAGTGTAATACTGGCTTCATAAAATGTGTTTGGCAGTTTTCCTTCCCTTTCTATTTCATGGAACAGTTTAAGGAGGGTTGGTATCAGTTCTTCTTTAAAGGTCTGATAGAATTCAGCAGAGAATCCATCAGGTCCTGGACTTTTCTTTTTGGGGAGACTCTTGATTGCTGCTTCAATTTCATTTTGTGTTATAGGTCTATTCAGGTGATTAATTTCCTCTTGGTTCAGTTTTGGATGATCATATGTATCTAGAAATCTGTCCATTTCTTTAGATTTTCAAATTTATTTGAATATAGGTTCTCAAAGTAGTCTCTGATGATTTCCTGGACTTCCATGGTGTTTGTTGTTATCTCCCCTTTTGCATTCCTGATTCTACTAATTTGGGTTTTTTCTCTCCTCATTTTAGTCAGGTTTGCCAGGGGTCTATCGATCTTGTTTATTTTTTCAAAGAACCAACTTTTTGTTTCATTAATTCTTTGTATGGTTTTTTTGGTTTCTATTTCGTTGATTTCAGCTCTTAT